CACTGAGGGTTGCGATCCGTTGCCGGACACGAAAAAAGACAAAAAAAGGAAAAAAAAAAAAAAAAAAGACAAATGATGAGGGGAACTTGGGAGAAATTGTGGGAGCAGAGGCATCGTCTTTTTGGATAATGTGGTCTTGGCAGTATCAGCCTTCCTCAAAGCACCCGAACCCAAGGAGGACACCTGTCCTCCCTCACACCCTTGACAGTTGTCATTTGTAAACAATCTTCCCCTGAAACACGGGAGTTCTTGCTAAGGATTCAGATTCCTGAGTTCCATCCCAGGTCTTTCAAATGAAGATGTCTGAAGTAGGTTCTAGGAATTTGCATTGATGATAAGTCTCCACATGTCTTTCATGCATTCTGAAGTTTGAAAACATGCTCTAAAAATTCAGTTAGTGCAATGGGCCCAACAGCTGATAAGGGAGAAATGGGGTCATTACGTGGGAGGAGGAGAAATGACAATGAAAGGACAGTGATAGGGACAGTGAAGCAGAGGCCATTCAGGAGGGCAGGAAAACACTTCAGGCCGCTTCCACGTTTGGGTCACCAACCACTTTGCAGACAGCGTCTGTCACCCTGCCAGGGAAGCCCAGAGGGTAAATGCATTATGCGACATTTAAAGAAAGCAGCAAAACACAAGCCATCATTATGAAGTTTTTCAAAACAATCCAGTTGTGTGGCCCGAGGTATGACCCAGCCTCCCTTCCTTACATGGGCACCCCATGTGCATTTAAACAGACATTTCCATTTCTAGTACATCACAATGACAGATGGTCTGGATGCCACACTGAAACTGGGGGTGGGGAAAAAAAAAACCAAACTGTTACTGTTTCAGAAGAAATAAAGTATACAATACAATAGCCATAAAAAAAAAAAATTAAAGGGAGAAAGTTCCTGTAGAAATCTGAGCTAGTGACTAAAATGACTCATTCCCAGAGAGTTCCAGGTAACCAGTTTTGTTATATAACCAGGTCTAGGCCTGGCAGCCACCCAGGAACTGCCAAGAGCCTTTGAGAAAGTCTGTAGGGAGGGTGTCCCTCTAGGGCTCTCTCCAAGGCTGGGACAGGAACAGCGTCTAACTGTATTATAATCAGAGGCTACTCTTGAAGTTAGCATGTAAATGTCTGATATCAACTGAGGTATTATTCTAAACCCAAACACAAATCATCCTGAAGCACACAGATAAAGCTCACAAAAGGCCCACAGTGAACTTTTAGAAATAATTGGGTATAGCAGATCTTCTCTGGATTTCTCCCATAGTTCTGTAAAATAATAAGGATTCTGCATAATTTCTTTAATTCTGATTCTACCTGCTGCCATGCTGACCACCTAAAGAAGACTGTCCTGGGAGATCTTCCTTCTGGCCAGGAATACCTTCCAGAGCTAAATGATGTTTCCCAGCCTGAAGATAGTTGCTCTTAAATTTCTGTGGCTATGGGATGCCAGGGCAATCCCGGCCCCTTTGGGGAGTTAACAGAGAGGCCTGGGGTTACTGCCATACTACAATGGGACCCTTTTGCCCATCCCCTTGCCAGTAGCACAGTGCCTGGAGTCAGCTTGTCTCTGGACCAAATTGGATGTTACTCACAGGCCCTGCTCCAAGAGCCACCCTGCAAGCCAGTGCCTTTCTAAACAATGAATTTTAAATCCTTCCAAAATAGTTCCTCAGTGTCAATAGCAAGATATGGCTTACGGCCATAGGTAGCCTGATCAGACTGACTTTAGCTAGACATAATCAGATTTGCAATTTTATTTTATTAAAAGCTAAGAATTAACCCCAGGGAGAATGTGAAGAGGTTAAATTTGCATTTCCTTTGAAACACACACATACACACAGCGTCATTATACAGATTTGTCTTTTGTCTATTTTAAGAGACAGTTTCTGCCTTAGGAAAGTCTGCGCACCACGTGGTATGTTTCCATTTCTTGCCTCTGACCTACAGTAAGCCTATTGTTTTGTTCCACAGGTGTATTACAACACGGATGATGAACGAGAAGGGTAAGACACTCAGTTCTTTCACTTAAACACCCAAAGCCTCTTCATGCCAGTGGAAATGCTCTTCCAGCACTGAGTATCCTTCCAAGTCTCTCCTTCCCCCCTCTTTCCTTCCTATAATCTGCCTTTGAATAACTAGCTGTTTTTCTAAGTGACCCCTCTCTTCCTTCCCATCTTTTCACCAATAATCCAGTTACTGAAATCTTCCTGATAGCCCTCCCTACCCATCGTTTGGTCCCAACACAAGATCAAGCTGAGCCTGAGGCATGAGTCAAAGGAGACAGCCTCTCCTACTTCCAGTACTACCTGGGCCACCCATGAATACTTCTTGAAGCCCTCGCTCTGGGAAGTGATCCCGGTGGGCCAGTGGGGAGGCTGGTTTGAATGCAACTGGGAAGGCTGAGAACCTTTTCACTGTCCTCTAGAACTGTAGGTAAGAGAGGGATCACTAAGGCTCCCAGTGTCTTCCACATCAAGTCTCTGCATTACAGTGATTGGCGGTGTTCTCCATCTTTGAATAGGATACGTGTCTACCTGAAAGTGGTCCTGCAGTTGTTTAGGGGCAGTCAAATCTCTAAACTGCTTTCTATCCTTTAACTCATCTTATAAACTCAGAATTTTAGAGCCCAAAAGGAACATTCAAGGTCATTTAGCTGACTGTCCTAGGCAATGGTAACATCTACACCACATCCTTGACAGGTGGTCAGCTTGCTTCTACTCAAATATTCCCAGTGCTGGAGAGCTCGCCATGTGTGAGATAGATCTTCACACTGTTGGACAATTCCAGCTCTTAGGAAGTTACTTTGTTTGTTGAGCTGACTTCTACCTTCCTTTGACTTCTACCCATCAGCTCTAGTTCTGCTTTCTGCATAAGTCTCATCCTTCCTTATCATTCAAACATCCCCTACCTCTCTACAACTGTTCTTGGTAAAATATAGTTCTACTTCTCAACATCTTAATTTCCCTCCAGGGGGGATTACTAAATTTGTTAATAGTCTCCTTAAAGAATAAACTGTGTTCTGGACCACATGAATTGCAGATTATATTGGGATAATTTCTTCTTATGACTTAGATGCTGTTTTTCTTTTCTAGAACTACATTCATTTTCAATACCTACTTTATGTTCTTGGTTTGCATTAGGTATACGTAACTAAAATCTCTAGATCATTATTTATTTTTTTCAAACTATGGTCAAACCATGGCTTCCCTATTTTTATGTGATTAATATATTTACTTGTAAAACATCTCACAGTTGGCAAACTGAGTGGAGCAGATATTGCTGAGTCATTCCTAGAGAAGAGGTTGACAGACTGTAACCTGAGGACCAAATCTGGCCCACCATGGGTTTTTGCAAGATAAGAATGGTTTTTATATATTCAACAGTTGAAAAAATTCAAAAGAATAATAATACTGCGTGACTTGTGAAACTTATATGAAATGCAAGTGTCCATGAATAAAGTTTTACTGGATCACAGCCATATGAATTCCTTTCTGTATTTTCAGCAGCTCTTTTGGTGCTACAACAGCAGAGTTGAATAGTTACAACAGAGGCCATATGGCTTAAATATTCACTGTCTGTCCCTTTACAGAAGAAGTTTGCCACCTTCTTCTCAATGCTGAAGGACAGAGAATCTCACAGGAATCAGCAATTCCCCACCTGGTTAGGGGCAGAACCTTGTCTGGGACTTGACCTCTAAATTCTGAGTTCTAAATTTTCTTAATACCTAATTAGAGGGTTGTTCTTATCTTGGCACATAGTTAATATATTTCAAGTGGTTGGAATGAACAGAAATGATGATTAGTACTATCAATCCTAATCACTTATTCACATATGTTACAAGGGACAGCGTGGTGTCAAGGAGAGGATGCTGACTCTGAGGTCAGGAAGCCCAAGTTCTACCCTGCATTACCACTCACCAGTGTGAAGCCTTGGCCAGCTCCTTGATCTCTAGGCTTTGGTGTCCTCGATTTTACATTGAGGATTTCGTATAAGACGTTCTGAGATTCCGTCTAGCACTGACTTTGTATTATTCTCATGAGAACACAGTATTATGAGCAAGAAGTGCCTGAGATCCTAAATGCTCCTTGATGTGCGGAATTCAGTGTTCCTCCAAGATCCTGCCATTGCCATGGGATGCTGCTTGGAACCCTCAGACTTCAATCCTCTCTCAGAATTTCTCTTCTCCCCTTGCTTCTTCTTAAAGGCATACCACTATCTCCACTGGAGTGAGACTTTAGGAAACAAAAGCCAGAAGGGGGTAAAAGTTGGGCAGGCCAGCCCTGCAGATTGGCCCTGTGCCAGCTCAAAGCATGTTCATCAGAGAAGTGAGAAGGGACTTGCTCATCAGGCTGTGAGTGTCCAGCAGAGGGCCCTGCCTCTCCTGCAGGAGGGAGGTCCTGTAGATGCTGCCAGACCAAGCCAGAAGCTCGGCACAGTGTTGCTGAGAAAAAGAGGCAGTTCTGGATGCCCATCTTCCATGGAAGCAAACACTTTGGCTAGAATTCAATGCCCTTTCGGGAAGTTAGAGATTATTAATCAATTAACAGTGGGTACACTTAATCAACATAATGTTAAATCTATCACACCCACCCTGTATTCATCAGCAGTCTTTGTAGGGCTACAAAATAAGATCCTTTTAGAATACTGCACTATTTCTTTTCAAGGAGCAATTTTCCAGAGAACCAAGTGCTTTCTTTTGATAGAGCTCTCAGGGATGCCAAGCAAACCATGAAATGTAGGGTGCAGTGTGCTATGTTTTACCACATACTCATGAGTATAAGGTGATTAAAAATATAGGGCAATTTTCCTATTTTCCCAAGGAGAAGATGAAAACATAAATTAAAGCTTTTGGGCCAACTTGAATAGGTAAGCCTTTATGAATAACCAAAAGGGTCAATGATTTACTGATATTTTGTTAATTTAATTACACATACATTTAAAGAATAACATATTGCTTAATTTACAAATATCTGTCACATTTTATAAAACACTTTTATGCAAATTTTTAATAATTTATCTTTGACATCAGGTTTTTTCTCATTGCTAAAGTTACTTTTTACCTCACTGTTTATCAGGGCAATTCTTCACTACCATAAAAGTTGAGATACTTTTTAAATCCACATAAATGAGATTGTCTTTAAAAATTTTATTCCCAAACCACAAATACTGATTCTCATAACATTAGAAAGAAATAACTGCATAATGATTGCCAAAATGTCACCTCCATTTCTTAAATTACATTTTTAAACTTTTAATTTTGAGATAACTGTAGATTCACATGCAGTTGTAAGAACCCCCCCAGTTGATATATTTTTGAATTTTTTATTATTAGATATTACATTTATAAATCCACTCAGTAATATTCAAATATGCCTCAAATATGCAAAGGAGATTTTTTTTTTAATTTAAGAAAATGAAAACCAATTTTACTATCCCTCGGAGCCAATTTTACCAGTTCTTTACATTAGTACTAGTTATTCTTGCTTGTATACTAGTTTGCCATTTTTGAGAATTGGGAGATTTAAATCTAAGACTCTTATAACTAAGCTTTACCTCCTTTTATAAATGTAAGCTATATTTACCCTATTTGTTGCTTTCTCCTTCTTTCCTCCCTCCCTCCCTCTCTCCCTCTGTTTCTCTTTGGGATCAATTTCCTACTTCCTGAAGAACTCTGTTCAGTATTTCTTTTGTCATGAAACTTTTGGCAACAAATTCTCTCAGATTATTAGTTTGTTGTAAATGTTTTCATTTGCAATCACTTGTAGGATATTTTTGCTAGGTATAGAATTCCAGTTTGGCATTTATTTCCTTTGTGTTTTGGTTTCCATCATTTCTGTTGAGAAGCCAGCTGTCTTACTGTTGCTCTTTTGAATATGATGTTTCTTCCTTTTCTCTCTTCTTTTATGAATGCTTTTAAAGTTGTCTCTTTCTCTTAAGTTTTCAGAATTTTCATTATAATGTTTCTATGTCTAGGTTTTCTTTGTATTTTTTCCTGCTTTGAATTTTATAGCACTTACTGAATATGTTTATTGTTGATGTCTTTATCAGTTTTACAACATTCTTGGCTGTGATCTCTTCTAATATTGCTTCTTCCCTGTGCCCCCTCCCCCCACCTCCCTCTTTCCTCCCCAACTTCTTTGGGATTCTAAATGCATATTAGAACTTTTTATTGTGTTCTTGTGTTTTTAATGTTTTGTTTTGTTTTTTTCTGAATTTTCTGTCCTCTTTGCTCATCATGCTTTAGCCTGAATATTTTCTACTGACCTAATGTTATATTCTCTTCTTCTGGGTCTGATCTACTGTTAAGCTCATCTATTGAGTTCTTAATTTTAATTATTGCACTTTTTAGTCCTAGGATTTTCACTTAATTGGTTTACTTATTTTTTAATAGATTCCAGCTCTGTATGTTTTGTCATTTATTTTCACAAACACAATAATCACAGTTATTTTTAAGTTTATATCTGATAAATAAGTGGGCTGTAAGTGTTTTATGTGGGTCTTTTTCTATTGTTTATTTTTCCCTTGGTCCTATTTATTAGTCAACTTGATAAATATCAATTCAATGGTGAACAGTGTATATAAAAATTATGGAATCTCTGGATGACATTATTTTTCTCTTGTGAAGGTTTTTTCTATCTTCTGTTGTGCTGCCTGAGTGGGTGTTGATTACCATAATTGAGTCAGCGACAGAACTGACCCAAAGCTGGGTTGCAGATTTTATTAGCCTCAGATTGTTTCTGGCTCATCCTAGATTATAGCTCTAAGGGTCTTACTATGGGTCTTCTTCCTTGGGTGGGCCTTCTGAGCATAGTGAGACTGCCAAAACATCCTCTACAATTTTCAGGGGTTCTCTGCTTAACTTATTCTCTTGTCCTGTGCTACCTAAGAACTTGGTAAATACCCCAGGAGGAATACCACAGAGGGTCTGACTCACTTCTTGTGCCCTTCTACTCTCTGGAAGTTTGACTATAAGTCCTGGGTACCTTTGCATCCCTAAACTCTAGTTTTTGTTTCTCTAACACTATGAGATTGCTAAAAGCTATGCCAGCTTCTTCATTCTTGGTATGTGCCTCTCCTGGAATTATCATCCTTTATGCCCCAGACGAGATTGGCAAATGGTTTGAGGGGAAAAGTGGTCACTGATTATTAGCTCACCTCTTTTGCAGTTTTCTTCTGAGATCTCAGCTCCTCAAGTTCTGGCTGCCTCATCAGAAGCACTTTGATACCTTCCATAAGATCTTTTACAAATTTTAGGCAGTTTTTCAAGTTGTTCTTGGCTGAAACATTGTTTTGCCACAGGCTACAGCATCTTAACTGGGAACAGAAGTATCTGTATTACTTTTTTAAATGATCTTTCTCGGGTCTAGTGACTGAGTCACTTATTACTTGCACTTTGAGCTCATAACTGCTAATAAATCTATGTGTGGTCTCTGTTTGTTTTACTGTTTCTGTCGGGTGAATTCTATAAACACCCCAAACTAGCATTGATTAAAGTCATTTTGGGATGACTTCTCCAGAAAGTAGTTTATTGAAAGTGAATTAATTGAAGTGCTCCTCCATAATGTGAAAGACTTTGTGAGGACTTGAATATAAAGTGACCTCCTCTTTTCTGAGGCTAATGTAGAGGAGGAACCTACATTTATTTAGGGCATTAATGGTAATCAGCATCCGTAGGCCATAAGCAGAGTTGTGAAATAGACAAACTCTGTCTCCATGGTACCTGCAACCCCTTTCTGCACTTTTTTTTGACACCTCCTTCCTCACCAGTCACCCAACGTCTAGTGCAGTTCAGCCTGTCAAGGAGGATGCAACATTGCCTTTCCCGGGTGTGGCCAAAGACCCGTGCTTGAGACCTGACACCTCCCCGATATTTTCCTGATGAAACTTGGCACTCTTTTGTTTATACCTCAGGGACTTGCTTTCTCTGAGATTAATCCTATAAGACAATGGCTGAATGTGCCACTGTACCTGGAGTCACTCTACGTACCAGCCACCCCATTGTGCCAGTGGGATGAGATTGATGTCAGAGAACACACCTTTTCCCAGTTCTCCAGTCCTTTTGTGGCACAATCCAGTGTAATTGCACTGGCACCAGGAGATCTGAAATTTGTGTTCTTTTATCTGTCAAAGGGGACTGTCATATCTGCCCTTCCTTTCTTGCCTTGCTTTGAAAATAAATGGAACAGTTGAGTTTGGGCCACACAAGTTTATTGACTCCTACCAGGTTTATAGATTTGAAAGTGTGAAAAAGCATTTTTGAATCCCCAAGAGAAATGTGGTTTATTCAAGATGTTATTTTAATGGCACGGTTTTTCATGGCTCAGTACAGGGTGTTATCAAAAGTCAATAAAACCAGAAAAACAAATAAATCTTGCTTGGTGAAGAAAGAAGATCACTGACTTAGGAACCCTCACACAGCGTGAGAGAGTGTCTGGTGATATTTCGGGCTATTTACCCACTATTAACCTGTTGGTCACTGACTGCTGTGTGAACGGATTTTTAATCTTCTAGTCCTGAGGCCATGGTCACTCCAGTTTCGAGACGTGACAGAGTAACAAGATGTGCTTTTATCAAGGTAGTGAGAGGAAGGCAGAGGGAACGGTGCCATAAAAACTCATTACCACCTTCAGCTGGGACTTGAGTTTGAGGCTTTTCCTCTAGTTATTTCTATTAGTTTGACTTACTCGGGAAAAGCATAAGAGAATGCTAAGTCTTAATATCGTTTCTCAGACCCTTGCTGCTCCTTATCTCAGATTTACTGAGTAGCTTTATCATGCGGTTGCTCCCTCCGAGGCTGGTTATCTGAACAGCCTGCTTCACTCGTGAGCGGCATCGCGCTGCCCACGACACTTAACACATGGAGCTTTTGCTCATCACTGGGATGGGGACAAACTCGGCCCTCGCCCTGGCTGGCACACAGTGTTCATGAGACTTAAGTGACCAAGGAGATGAAATGTGCTTTGTAGCATCTGAAGACTTATTTGGGACTTTGACTGATGGTTGTACCTTCGTACCTCTATACAGCTAGGGTATGCAGAGGTAAATTAAAGCATCATTGGTTTAATAGTTTAAACTATTACTTTTAATAGTTTAATACTTTTGGGCTGTCTATAGTTTTGTACTGTGTGCTCTTTCTACCATTGGCCCCACCATTAGCCCAGCTTGAGAGCTGATAAATAACTTCATAGGGACAATAGTGCCAGCGTGGAGTTGCAGGGTTCCGCATTACCTAGGAAGCCTGAGGTTGATATAATGTCAACCTTCCATGCAGGGAGCTTTACCAACACTAGTCCTTAAACTGGACCAGAGTGGTAGTTGGGACTGTTTGCTCTCTGATGGTAAATGAAACTCTGACTTCTTTCAAATTGTCTGCCTTAGTAACTCCTCCTCATATCTCTTCCTCAGATCTCTCCAACTTGTAATCACTGTCATCGTCTTCATCTAACACGTCAGTGGTGCTTACAATGTGTCAGGGACCTTGTGGGTGCTTTACGTATGTGAACTCACCTAATTCTCTCAACAGCCTCTTTTTAAAGATAAGGAGACTGAGGCCCAGGGAGGTTGAGGAACTTGTCCAAGTTCCCACAGTTAATAAATTATGAAGGAGAGATAGTCGGGCCCCAGAGTTCCCGTCTTCACAGTTCTGAACTGCCTGTCTGCATTGCTTCACGTGCTCAGGAATCCCAGAGACAGTAAAAATTTCTAAAAACCTGCAACTGCTGCCTTGAGGGCTTGAGGAATAGTAAGATTTCATTGGAAGCATTTTCTCAGCATCAGCAACTTCTGTTCGTCCAATTTCTTTTCCACTCAAAAAGTCCTCTCCTTCGTTAGGGTGCCCAGAGTGGACAGGGACTTTGGGAAGAAATGAAGAACTATCCGAACTGGGGATGTGCAGGGCCTCGGCACCATAGGCTTCCAGGAGGAGGGCCTGAAACCCTCTCTGAGGAGGAGGAAAGGATGGGCAGCCAAGGTCTGGGTCTCTCAGGAGCTTCCACCCCTGTGGTGTCATCCACACCAACCAGATGGACAGACAGAACAGCAGGAAGTCAGGACAGACTCACAACTGAGAACCAGCCAGGCTGGCCTGCCTCATTTGCAGAGATCACTGCTGTGCCCCAAGGGGCTGGCAGGAGGGGACAGGAACACCTAGGCCTCAGCTGGATGGGAGGGGTCGATGTGACTTGGAGACCACACAGACCCCAGGGCTCATTCTGCTAACCCCCAGCCCTGATATGAGCAGAAAGGTGGGATGTGTGCAGGATGGAGTGGGTAAAACCCGCAAGTCTCACCTTGTGGGTCCACATTCAGCAATGGGGAGTGTGTCTTAGGTCCATGCCCTAAAGACATTGGTGAGTGTGTTCTGCCTCCAACAGGGATGGCTTGGGACATGCAAGGGGAGGAAGGAGGTTGGTGAGTGGATCCGGGCGCGGAAAACTAGGGATGATCTGAATCATGGGAAAGGATAGGGACTGACACACGCATGAACTTGTGCTTCAACACCTTGCCTGCTTTACTGAACAACTTTTGCTTATCTTTTCTAGCAGCAGTGTCCTTGTGAAACGGATGTTCAGGCCCATGGAAGAGGAGTTTGGTCCAGCACCTTCTAAGCAGATGAAAGAAGAAGGGATGAAGCGAGGTATCTCTCCAGCTGGGGCAGCCACTGGCATTGCCGACATTAGGGGCACCTCCCAGCATGAAGTCGGGGTGAGGGGGTTCACCAAGGAGGGCCGGCAGCCCAGCCCCGGCCCCTACGGCTGGGCGTGAGCTTTTGTGATATTTTATTCACACAGGAAGTTCACAGTCTTCTCCTTCGCTTTAAACTCTGTGCTGCTCAGCACCTTAAGTAAACATTTGCTCTTCCTGGGCGCTGCTGCTTGCTTTTGCCTTGGGAGAAATGTAATGAATATACTGACTCATCCAGCAGCGAGATCCAAGGTTAAAAGTAACTCTTGCTGTGTGCGTGACTGTACCATCTCGTAACAGCCAGCACTTTAGCATCGTTCAGTAGACACGAATGAATCATCTCATACAGATAAATGAGCCTTAGTTTTCTGTGACATCACAGCTTACTCATTGTCTCTCGGTCAGGGGTCTTGTTCCACTTCAGCAAGAGGGTAAGAAACAAGGGAGCGTGCCAGCATCTTGCTCCGTGTCTCGCTGCTGTACGCGACGCCCCGTCCTTCCCCAGAGTCAGGGGGAGTGTGCGGAGTGGCCGTGTCCCCCCAGGGCCTGCTGCAGCCAACACCAAGGGCTTCCAGAGACTTTAGACTTACACAGGACCAGCCTTTCAGGGGCTCAGCTTACCATGTTAAATATGCCCACCATCGGCACAGGCTTGAGTTTTTTGTTATTGAGAATATTTTTTTCCTATTTGTTGTAATGGGATTTGCCTAATGGTCGAGAGCTTCCCCTCTGGAGCCTGCCTTAGCTACCTAGACTTGTATGACTTTGGGAAGGTTCTTCCCCTTCAGAGCCTTAGCGTTCTTTTCTGTAAAATGGAGATGATAAGAGTGTCGGCCTCATAGAGCTGCGGTGAGGACTGATGAGTTAGTCCGTGTGACACACTCGAGGCCCCGACGCGGAGTAAGCGCTCCATGTTCACTGTTACAACTACTAGTTTTATTAGTAGGTTTGTTTCTAATTAAGTTACATTACCATAATAGTGAATAAGTAATTAGTGTTTCAGAATGGAAAGAACATAAATGCATAAATGTCACATTGCCAACATTTAAACCTTTAAAAGATTTTCTGACTTCACAGGCTCGACATCAAATATTCTAGTACATTTCGAACTCCATGCCTGGATGCCTTTTATATTTTATACTTAAGAATTACAGCAGAGATATGTGGAAATCAAAAATCACATAGGCAAAAGTAATTGTAGCTTGCCTCCATATTTAGTGCCTGGTGGCTGGTCCAAAGACTGTTTTTCAGATCACAGTACAGCCCCCCTTTATCCGAGGGGGAAACATTTCAAGACCCCCAGTGGATACTTAAGCCCACAGTTAGTACCGAACCCTATGTATACTATGTTTTTTACTATACATACATCCTAATGATAAAGATTAATTTATAAATTAGAGATGGTAAGAGATTAACAGCAATAACTAATACTAAAATAGAATAATTATAACAATATACTGTAGTAAAAGTTATGTGAATGCGGTCTCTCTCTCAAAATATCGTATTGTACTGTGCTCACTTGTTTTTGGAACGTGGGTAACTGGACTGTGGGTGACTGGACTGAGGAAAGCAGAACCGCGGGTAAGAGGGGACTACCGATTTTGAGATTGTGAAGCCAGCACAAGAATTGCCGCTAGAAATTGCACTGGACTGTAATCAAAAGTTAAGGCTATGACCTTTGAAACAGCTAAATCCTAGAGACACAAGAAAGTGCTGTAACCTACTGGCAATAGAGAAAACTTTCTCCCAGGAATGACATTTCTTTGGAAAAGGATGGTGGAATTACTGAACCTCTACTTGGAGAGCTCACTGAGCTGGTCTTTGACAAGCATGGGGAATCAGGGTCAGTGACAGTTCCTCTTTATTTGTTAGAAGTTCCCTGAGAGAGAATGATCATAATTATCAACAGTGCCATTATTATTGCTTGTTTTGCCTTTGTAGCCACTTGTCAGGGTGGCTCAGTGGGAGTTGCTTGGGGGCTGCCCTATGTGGCTGTCTGCCTTTGGCTGTACAATGTCTAGGGTGCATGATGGCTGTTCTTGCTATGTTGAGAGAGTGATCATTACCGTTGCTCTGCCACCGACAGAGAGCCCATGAGAGCTGACTCCCTGGGCAAGCCATCACGGGTGTACTGTGAGCCCAGTTGGCCTGAATGTGGCCGTCAACCAGCCAGCAGGAGAACGGCGGAGCTGCCCCACCTGGCGTTCTCCCGCAGCCCACCTTTAGCACTTCCCGGACGCTCCTGAAGCAAGAATGACAGCCGTAGTGTTCCAAAGAAGGGATTTGTAAATGCAGTGGAAGCAGTGCTCATTGTAATAGAATATGGTTTGGTTCCTTAGGGTCAGCCTCCTGGAAATTACTTTTTGTTGTTGTTGTTGGGGGCTGTGGGAAGAAGTTATAGAATGTTTGTCTATAATAGCCACCAATGTTTTTTGGTTTTTTTCCTTGACTTTTCCTTATCTGGATGTAATCGAGATCCTGTTCTAATTATTTCTTATTGTACTGTTAGCATTGAGTCCTCTTATAATATTCATTAGGTCACTAGGTCATATTAGCTGAAATAGAGGCTATAAACTATTCCTTCCAAAGGACTAAATTTGGAAATATTTGGAGACACATTCAATCTATTTGTTTAATTGGTATTTTACTTTCATATTTGGTAAAGAGAAGAAATTCTGTTATACATGTTATGTTTTCCTTTTTTCATTTTCTTTTTTTCCTCATACACTGAACATCTACTGTGTACAGAAAGGAAGTGAAGGCAGAACCCGTGTGCACCCATGTAGATGTGGCTTTTGTAAAGCAAGCAGCTTTAATGAAGTCCTTGGAGACCAGGGGACAAGGGGAGAAAGGGTGGGAGATTGGGTTAGAGCTGATTTGATTTTCTAGTTTCAACTTTGTTCTTCCAGTTGATGGCAATTGAAGCTCAGTTGGTATCTGACTGTCATTGGGATCCAGGCTCAGCAGGGTTTTGACCTGTGTGTTTTCCCTAGAGTGGCCAAGTGCATATAGCTTCAGCTTTGACCCCCTTCGTTCCCCCTGCAGGAAGAGTCAGAAGTCACACCACTGGGATGAGGGAGACGGAAAGGGCCGTCAGCTCACGGGGGCTGGAGGGTTGCCTCTGAATGGCAGTTCCAAGAGTTTTCTGGGAGCTAAGCCACAGCATAGTCGCTGTAAGGGTAGGTCCAGGCAGGGAGGGCAACAGTGAGCAGAGCAGCAGCAGCCAGCAGCTGTCACATCCATGGGGCCCTGGGGGAGTGTCTTAGTCTCTCTGAGCCTCAGCTCGTGCATCTCTAATCATACCTGGGGCCCCTACCATCTCTCATAATTTGTACATTCTCAAATTTAGAATGATATTTTATAGATAAATGAATAGAAAAGCTGCATCCCACTTCACTGAGGGCATGAGAACCATGGCACTGATTCATCATAGCCAGCACTGATTGAGAGCTGCTGCTTGCTGAGTGCCAGGTGCTGTGCTAAGCATGCCGCATGGACGTGATTTTATTCAACCCTCGTGACAACCCCATGAGCTAGATACTCTTATGCTGTTTCACAGAGAAAACCAAGGCTTGGAGAGGTTAAAGGACCAGGGCCCACTACAGGACTGACCTGCGCACAAAACCAGATGTGTGGCACGCCACCTCCGAGTTTCCTCCTCCACCTGCCTCTGACAGTGCCCGCTCCCTCCTGGGCCTGTTGGTTGTCTGCCTGGAGTTTGCTCCCCATCCTATCCTTCTCCCTGCCCTACCCACTACACCATTTGCCAACATTGATGCCTCCAACAGCCCTCATACCTCCAATGCCTCCTTCAAGGTAGCCTCCCCGAGCATCCCCAAGCATCCCCACGCTGGCAAGGCTGAGCCCCTATATGCACGCTTTTGTGTCATTTCCCTCTATAACTCCTAACTCTGTGTCTCACGGTTTATTTATCTTAGAGAGGAATGTCTGTCTTTCTAAGTGGGGTGCAAACTCCTTAAGGGCAGGGGGTGTGACAACTCACAGCTACGACCCCAGCTCCAGACACACATGGCCCAGGGGCCCAGGTGGATGGTCAGTAATATGAGGGGTCTTCCAAAGGTTTGGGGAAACAGTCGCATTATCTTTTAAATCCATTTTCTACGAGCTTTTTGAAGTCTCCTCATATTTGTCAAATGAACAAATAAATAAATAGAAGAAATGTCATAAAAAGCTCAAGGACCCACCTTGAGAATTCAGGTGTGAACATAGGTGTCCACACATCTGGCAGCCTGTTAGGGGGTTCCCAGTTGTTTGTTGACCTCAAGCCTTAGCACTCCCTGGCCACACGTTGTCTACATAGGTGTCTCAGTCACCCTTGTAGGATGTTGTCTGGGCCAGGGTCTGAGGCTCAGCAGATACTGCCAGCCTGCAACACCTGTGCAAGAGGACGCAGTCCCCTGGGCATCTGAGCACCCGTGTGGGTCCCTTCGGTCACCCAGATCTCCTTCTCTTTCAGTGCTTTTGTATGTGCGGAGGGAGACGGATGATGTGTTTGATGCTTTGATGTTGAAATCCCCCACGGTGAAGGGCCTGATGGATGCGGTAAGCAAAGACCCCCTCTCCACCTCCAGGGGACCTGCCTGCGTTCTCTGTAGCTGGCACCCATTTATTAAAACGCAGCCACTGAGATGGCTCTAGAATAACTTTATAAAGAAAAAGGAGAACCTGAGATTTGTGCAGACACTGATCTGTATACTGTCGTGGCTTATTAACATCTTAAGAAGTGGATTTTGAAAAACCGCCAATTCCCTGTGAGTTTCAGACTAATCACAGTGAGATGTCATGGAGGGAGGTTAAATTGTAAGTTTTTACTTGTCTCGTTGCATGAAATAAAAACAATTAAGTGTCTTGCTGGCTGTAATAGTGTAATCAAAAATAAAAATATCACCTCTTGGTTAAGAAAAAAAGTATATTGCAGAGTTATAGTGATTTGAGGTACAATTTTTCCCTTCCCACCCAAGATCTAGTCTAGTGTTAACCCAAATTGGGCTCAGGAAAAGTTATTTTATATTTTATTCATGTACTATTTACCTGAGTATGACTTTAATATAACTCCACTTTTGAGTATGATTTCCAGCTCCTTCCCTCACATACATCTATTTTTTTTCTTTTTTAATACCCTGTACAACTGTGTTGTAGAAGATAGAGGTTTTTTGTTTTTTTTTTTATTGATGGAGACAACAGGACTGACAGAGACACAGTCCAAAATTGTTGGTTGGTCTGAAAAACTGCTACATTGCAGCAGTATCTTGGATTATGGGGCCGTATTAGTCTGTTTCTGTTGCTTATAACAAAATACCTGAAACTGGGTGATTTATAAAGAAAATGAAATTTATTGCTTACAGTATCTGGGGCTGGGAAGTCTAAAGTCCAGGGAACATAGCTGGTGAAGGCTTTGGTGGCGACAGTGACGGCAGGATATCACATTACAAAATGTTGGATCAGAGAGAGACTAACCTCCTCAGTCACTCTCCTTTTAAAGCCCTCAGAACCACGCCCCTGACCACCATTTTTAATCCATTCACTACAGCACAGTCCTACAATCTAATCACCTCTTCAAGGCTCCACCTTTCAATTAGCATAATAGGATTTCCCACCCTCAGCAGTTAACAGTGGGAATTAAGCCTCAATGAGGTTGGGAAGCATCCAGTCTACAGCAGGGGCCAAATGTTAAAATGTATGGGATAGTTCCCGTAAGTGGAATTGCACAATACGCAGTCTTTTGTGGCTGCTTTCTTTCATTTAGCAGACTGTTTTTTAGTTTTACCCATATCGTAGTATAAGCCAGTACTTCATTCCCTGTTATGGCTGAATAATATTCCATTGTATTTATATACACATTTGTTTTTCCATTCAACAGTTGATAGAGGTTGGATTTTTTCTGCTTACTGGCTATTGCGAATAATGCTACTACAACCATTCATGAGCAAGCTTTTGTTTGAACCTCTGTTTCCAGTTCTTTTGGGTACATACTAAGGAGTGGAATTGATGAACCAGACACAAAGACCGTGTAATATTTGATTCAATTTATAGAAAATATCCAGAATAGGCAAATCTATGGAGACTGAAAGCAGATTAGTGGTTGTCAGGGAGGGGAGTGGGGGAATGGTGGGTGACAGCTTAACACACACTTCCTTTTTAGAGTGATGAAAATGTTCAGGACTAGATCGAGGTGACGGTCACACAACGTTGTGAATGTACTAAATGCTATTGAGTTGTATGCTTTAAAATGGCTTGAATGGTGAATTGTATGATATATGTAAAAAAAAATAAGTAGTTACTGTTCATCAGAAAATTTTTAAAAGTGTATAGGAATGTTACCAGTGCAGATTTCACGCTGCCCTCTGTAGTCGTGTTGTTAACAAGTCCCAAGCAGGTCTGTGCAGGGCATCAAGCACCACCCTCTAAGAAGCACTGGTGGAGGCCTCGCTGATCCTTTCTGTTCTACAGGGTTTCTCATTGGAATGGAGTTTGTTGGGTCTGGAAAAACAAAGATGGAAATGAGCACAACAAAAATATGTATATCTCTTAGAATGAACCAGGACTTTAAAAGTGACCCTAAAATTGCCAGAGGATAGATTTATGAGCTAGAAAAGCCCATAAAATACTCAGACCTCTCTGGGCAACTTTGGGCGGTTTCATACCCCAGTCTGGCCTTTAAGACCATCTTACTAAAACTGACTTACCGGGGACAGTGGCAAATATGAAAATTACCATCTCAGTTGTTTCAAATGCATATTCTCAGACCTCAACCCCAGAGATTCTGGTTCTGCTTAGTTGGAGATGGAATTGGGGATGGGAATCAGGAATCAGTTTTTTTAACAAGCTCTTCCATATATTCTGAGCTTTAGGTGTGAGAGCCACTGATCTAGACCAATTCTGAACTGATTTTTATACCATGATCCTGCCTTTTTCCTTTGTGCCTCTTCTTTTCCTTCCATGACATCTAGCTGGTTCTACACGTGTTCTGTAGATGTGTCTCACTGTATCATACAGGAACTAAATGTCACCTCTACTCTCACCCAAACAGCAGCTCAGCAACCTTTGCCTACACTCCCCACACAACAGCATCCGGCTTCTGATCCCTTTCAGGGGAGCTCATTACACCTACCTTGCTTTGGTTAGCTGGGGTGTGGGGGAGAGTAACGCATGGTATCCTTTGACCCTGTAAGCCGTGGAGAGGTCAGGTTTCCTTGGCTCGTTCTGGACAGATTCCTTAGAGCAATTCTGACTTCATCTCTCCTTTAAGTCTGGGAAAAAATGATTTTATTAAAGAACCAACATAAGCTATCTCCTTGCTTCCTGATTCTTGCAAATGGGAAAGCAAGGCAAGCAAAGCTCTTTCAGGATCCTCATGTGATGTATTCTGGTGGGGAATTGCAAAAGAATGACACAGCAGACCCTGCAACCTGGGACAGCCATGAAGGCGACAGGCTCTGTTTACATGAAGACTTGAGCACACCGTGAAGCGAGACAATAGAATTTTGCAGAACACTGGCTCCTGCTCACTGTAGTTATACTCTAATAAGTTTATTTGGAATCTGGGTTGGGTAAGAAAGGGTTCCTTCCAGGGTATGGTTTCTCTGAGGACCAAGATGTCACTGGCGTATGACCTTTTACCACGCTGACATTTACCAATACACACGTGTATATTGTAATATACACGCGTGTATATATAATATCCATATATACAATATAATATTATATATACACTGTATATGTGAAATAAATATATACAATACAAGCATGTGTATCTATAATGGTATATACACACGTATATTTGCAATGTGTGTGTGTGTGTGTGTATAAAATAAAGCCAATATGCATGTGTGTATATAAACAGTATAGCTTAGAGGTCAGCATTAGGCTTTGATTTCAGAAGACTTGTGTTCAAATTCCAACTGTGCCTCCTACTAGCTGGGCAAGTTTCTTTTTTTTTTTTTCATTTTTCATAATTTTATTATTAAACTTCCATAATAGTAAATAAAGTTCCATCATGTACATATATATATGAAATATATGAAATTATTCATTAGCAATCAGAAGCCACAAATAGCACTTAATTTTAGGTTTAAAACATCTCGTTTTTTCTTTTAATGACTCTATGTTTTATTACTTACTTGTCCTAAAATATTCTCCTTACCCATTTTTCTACTTATTTATTTATTTATTTATTTTTAAGTTTATTTGTTTATTAATATATATATTTTTACATTCTCTGATGTTGCAGAGCAGTTGGGGGGAGGGAGAGACGGGAAGGGAAAAGGAAATAGGGTATGAGAAGGAGGAAGGAGGAGGGGTGGGGTTGAGGCCTGTGGCACCCCCTCATTCCTGCAAGTTTAGACCAGGGGGCTTCCAGCTGTGGCTTGGTCATTCCTGGTGTGGGTGCAGATGTCAGGAGGGTGTGGCTGAAGCCCTTGCCCCCTATCACCCTAGCTTGGGAGCCCAGGGCGCTTCTTGCTGCAGCTCGGTGGTTGTTGCTGGGCTGGTTGTGGGTGTTGGGGGGCGTGGCCGAGGCCTAAGGTCCCCCACTGCCCCAGCTCTGGGCAAGTTTCTTAACCCCTTCTTCATCCTTAAAATGGAAATAATAATAGTAGCTACCTCACAGGGTTGTCATGAGGATCAAATGAAACAACACAGATATAAAATTCTGCCTGGCCCCTGATATGTACTAAGCCCCCAGTAAAGGTTAGTCCTTGTTACTATACTATAGTTTGGAGTAGGAATCAGAGGTAGAAAGGACACAGTGCAAAGACTCTGCGTTTGCTGTGCCCTCGCCAGGAGTGCCCCTCCTCCATGTCTACAGGGCTCACTTTGTTCAGGTCTCTGCTCACATGGTGCATCATCAGATGGGCCTTCCCAGAACACCTCCATACATAGCATCTCTGTCACTCCTTGTCCCCTTGCCCTGCTTTGTTTTACTTCATAGCAGTTATGCCTTTCTGAGGAAGAGATGGGGAGCTGCCACACAGAAGGGTTATGTAGGAATATTTCCAAGAGGCTAAACATTTCTGGTAACTTTAAAAATTTGTATTTCTAATTTGATTGAATTATAATCCAACGTTGTCTTTGTTGCCCAGTATATGATACAGTCTCTTCAGACCACGTAATGGTTGTGTGTGTCTGTATATATATGAGGGTAGTTCAGAAAGTTCATGGAAAAATAGAATTGAAAGATAATGCAAGTCTTTACATGAACTTTTTGAAGTACCCTCATGTATGTGAGTGTGTGTGTGTGCGTATTTTTATTAAAAAGTATATTGATTATATTATTCAACTGTTCTTATATATTTGGCTACGAAATTCATGCAACTCTCCAGGAGGTATATTGAAGTCTCCCACTGTAATTGCTTTCTTTGCAAGGTTTCCTTCTATCTGTAATAATTTTTGCTGAAGTGTTATGCTGTTAGATGTGTAAAGTTTTATGATTACTATTCCTTTCCCATAAATTGTGCTTTTTGTCATTATATCACATCCATTCTTACCTCAACAACCATAAATTATACCCTGTCTAATGCTAATCCCATCACTCCTACTTTTCTATTGGCATTTGTTTGTTATGGTCATCCATCAGTTAGCCTTTTATTCATCGTGTTGTTAGATGTTTTTCTTGTAAACAGCATACAGCTGGTTTTTCTTTTTTTCTCTTCCTCCTCTTATCTTTTTCTCTTCTTTTTCACCCACTCAGACACTTTGTATTTTACTGGAAGAGTAAATTTTATTCTCATTTGGTATAATGACTGATATACTTGATTTTACTTCTTCCTTCTTTTTGTTTATTTATTTCACTTTGTGGTTTCCTCTTACTTTCTCTTTAGTTTTGCAGGAAGATTGAGTTTCTTGTTTTCATCTTTTTAATTTTGAAGTTATTCTTTACCTTTCCTAAATTGTTTCAATCTCTTCTGCTTCTTATTTCTCTATCATTTGAAATTAAAATTCCAACTCTTTTCCCCACCAAGACCCTCCAGCTCCCCCAACGCCTTCTGTGAGATGAGGCTTTTGGGGCTTTTCTCTCTCCCTCTCCCACCCTCATTTGCCCACTAGCATGGACCCATTGAAATGCCTACCCTTTCCCCACAAACTCCAAACTTCTAGATTTTGCCGAAATAGTTTAATACCTTTTTCTAAGAAACGGTTAGATTTTGTTTATGTTAAGTCCTTTTAACTTCAAGGATCCTTAGCACTTAAATGTCACATTCTCAGTCCCCATCACCACGTGTATACTCAAGTTTATGGCACAACACACTGGTTGCTTGTTTTCTTCCTCCTTTGCCTGGTTTGAAGTCTCTGTTCTGATGCATTTTGTCTCCAGATAGTATTCTTTTGGGAGTATTTTTCTCAAATGAGATATGGGTGAAATACTCTCTGAACCTTTGCATTTCTCAGAGACTGTTCTTTCACTCTGAAAAGCGAGGGATAGCTTGATAGTGTACAGGGTTCTTGGGGTGAAGTCCTTCTTTTCTGTAGTCTGTAAGGGTTATTTCACTGTCCATTGGGTGTAGTGTCACAGATAAGAAGATGGAAGCCAGGTTTATCCTTTTTTTTGGTAACTTGTTCTTTCTTTTGAGAGTTACCAGAACATTTTTGTTATGCTTGGAAATCTGGCCCTTTTCAGAGTGGCCAGGTATATGAATCTTTTGTTATAGATCTCTCCTGGGAGTTAGGATACCTTTCCTGTCTAAAAACCTGGGTTTTCTATTATTTGGTTGTTTTCTCTTCTCCATCTGTTCCTTTCTCTCAGTATGGGATGATTTTTACATCTTATATGTCCTGACTCTATTCTTCAAGTCTCTTTTCTTTTCATTCATGATTTTCATCTACATTATGTGTTTTTACTTTGCATTTTGAGATTGTTTTTCAATTTGATTTTTCCTAACACTCTTTGGTTTGCTGAATTTACCATCTATCCTTCCATTCATTTCCTGAACTTTTAATTTATTTTTTATTATTTTTATTTTTATTTTTGGCAGGTGGCCAGTATGGGGATCTGAACCCCTTGACTTTGGTATTATAGCACTGCACTCTAACCTACTGAGCTAACTGACCAGCCCTGAACTTTTAAAGTTTTTTAGCTCAATAATCATATTTTTAGATCACAATTTTGCATGCATGTGCTTTACTGCATGTTCTTTATCAGTATTCCTTTATGTTCTTCTGAAGGACTCTTTTATGTCTTGTGCAAATGGCTGCCACCAACACAAGTTCTGTCCATTTTCTTTGCTGCCAGCAGTCCCCCCTTGGATGCATTGTCCTTCATGCTTGGCTCCTTTGACTCAGGCATGGCTGTGGGGATGTCATCAGTGATGGATCAGTGGTGTGCATCAGGCAGGTAACTTATTCCCTCTCCTTTTGCTCTCCAGACCTCAGCCCACCTGTTCTGCTCCTTCTGGGCTTATTGGGGGTGGGGAGTTCTTTCTACAAGGTGGGAGGGATGAGGGAGGGCATCTATGATTCTCTGTTGAATGAGCTCTTTGCAGGATCCAAAGATTTTCAAACTTTGCTCTAGAACTCTTTAGCCTCTTTCTCTAACCTGTGCTAGACTTTCCAATAATCCCAGTCGCAAACCTCATCTGCCATAGCCCAAGCTGCCTATGAGCGCACTAGCCACTGGGCTCAGAAAGGGTGGGCAGATTCGATTTGGGAGTAAAGAAGGCATGAAAGACATTTAGGGCAGTTCTTCTAGAATCCATCTCTAAACTAGTACTACTTTATATTTAGAAATGTGAAACACAATCACTGTAAATATATAATAAGCAGTATAGAATTGTACAAAGTAAAAAGTAAAAGAATCTCCTTGTTTCTGTCCATTTTTCAATGGTAGCCACTGTTAGTAGATCAGAGCAGCCTTCACATATTTTCTATGTACTTACATATATGAGGGGACTTCATATGTTCATGGAAAGATTTGTGTTATCTTTTCATTCTATTCTTCCACGAACTGTTTAGAGCACCCTCCTATATATTTTTAAAACAAAGGGGATCACACTATGTACAGTGTTTTGCAACTTGTTTTTTCCCTCAATATAGTAAGGATATTTTTTTTAATGTAAATTCAGATAGGCTGCCCGTGTTTCTTTTAATGACTTCATGGTTTTCAACTGTGAAAATATCAAAATGTGTTTAGCAAATGTTTATTTGCAATTTTCTTTATTATAAACAATAATGCTTTGAAAATCTTTACATACATCTGCCTGTATTTCTAAGGACTAGACGACTCAATGTGGACTATGTGGGTCAAAGGATATATGCATTCTACGTGTTAATACCTTCTGACAAATTTCTTTCCAGAAAAGTTGAGTTTGTTACTCTCCCACCTATAAAATATGAGAGTCGTTTTTTCTCATACTCTGGCTGACAGTGTAGTACCAATTTTTTAGTTTTTTATTAGTTTGATAAATTAAAAGTAGTATCCTACTGTTTCTTTGGTATTTTAAAATTATGAGTGAGATGGTGCATTTTCTCATGTGCTTTGTCTGATTTTATTTTATTTTTTTCTGTGAATTGCTTCTTCATGTTTTTGGAGGGGATTGTTTTTTCTTTTTCCATTGAAGTGTTAGTCTTTTTCTTGATTTGCAGGAGTTCTTTTTAACTTAAGGAACTTAGTTTCATGTCTGTCATTTGTGTTGCAAAAATGTTTTCCCATGTAGTATTTGTCTTCAGCTTTTTATGGTGGTTTTTGCTATGCTGTTATTTTCAATTCTATATTGTTTTTATTAATGTTTTAATTTTTTTTCTTCAGGTTTTATGTCTTGCTTAGAAAAATCTTCCTTATTTAAGATGACATCTGTACAAAGAATTGATTCATGGTTTCTTCTTATACTTTTATGGTTTCCTCTTTCACATGTAAATCTTTAATCCACCTGAAATTTATTTGGGTAGAAGAAGTGGAGAAGGGCTCCAAGTTGTTAAATTTTTTTCTATATGCTACCTATTTAATACAACATCATGATTAGAATCCATCTTTTCTCAACAGATCTGAAATGCCACTTTATCATACATTGAATTCCCATGTGGCTGGATCTTTTATTGAATGATTTAAAGTCTGTACAAAGGGAGAGCCCCATAAATGAGGCGTTTTGAGAGCCTGACTCATGAGTGAAAAGCACTCTGTGCCTGGGAAAATCTCCAAGAGAGTGAAATTGGGACTTCCTTTCTTGCCTCCACTTGGGCTCCCCTTCTGTGTTCATCTGCCTTTTGTTATTGGTTTTACAGATATCTGAGAAATATGGGCTGCCTGTGGAGAAGATAGCAAAGCTTTACAAGAAAAGCAAAAAAGGGTAAGAAAGAAACTGAACTTAAACTGACTCCCAAGTCAGATAAATCTACATGATGCCTTAAAAAAAAAAAGTGCCTGTCTTTTGTTAGTTCTGTTGTTTGCCTTTCATAAAAATTGTGTCATCCTTCCAAAGGATTTCAGGGCAGCTTGCAAGTGCAATGCATTTTATCTTTAATAAAGAGAGGGAGGGAGGGAGAGAGGGAGATAGTGTATTGCCATGATGTCAGCTGAGATGCCCTATTTTAATGACAGGATTGGCAGGTGGACCAGAGGGGTCTGGAGGTGGTGAGGACACTGGGAAGAATGACAAAGTCACCTTTCTGCAGAGAGTGGAGTTTATAGGGAATCACATACAGCTCTTGGGGTTAGTATCAGGATGGCACAGTAGAAACAAAAAATGGTTCAGGACATAGGGAATTCTTTTCAAAGTAATTATTAATAAAATGTTCTCAAACCATCATTGGACCTGCTTATTCTCATGGTTAAGAGCAATTGCTCTTCTTTCTTGGGTGTTTAGTAGGTCTGGGTCCCCTGCTAAGTGCTTTATATGAATCCCTCCATGTACTCCTCACTATTTGTTTGAGGAAGAAGCTATTATTGTCTCTAATTTGCTAATGAGGAAACTAAGCCAGAGGGAGCTTAGCATCTTGCACAAGGTCTCATGTTCAGTAAGTAGAACACAGATTTGAACCCAGGTCTGTAGCCTCAAGCTCACTTGCGTCGCTCCCATGCTGTGCTGTCTACCACCTCCGAGGCCCTACTGGGGCTTCCTGTTTGTGAGGTTCTGAGAGACGTGGTCACAGGAGCTGGATTTAGTGCCAGGAGAGGGTTTTCATTGACTCAGCTCTGGAGCTGTTTTCCTATAAAAAGCATAATATGGGTCTTTAAACTCTCCTCTGGACCTCTTTTATAAAGGAAATTGATAATCTAGGATGCTCCGCTTTCTAGATGGGTTGATGGGTTGATGGGGAGTCAAGCAGAAAACGCTTTCCACTTGAGCCCTCATTGGAAAGCGCACTAGAATGTATTACAGTTACTCTGATGGTGAGATTAGAATGGTGTCTCAAGGTCTTACTGTCAAGCAGAAATCCTCAGTGCGGATGTCCATGGTGCTGATGATAACATTCATTTTAATTGAGCTCTGTGTCACACCTTGTGCTAAATGCTTTTATCCTAACAAAAACCCTCTGAAGCTGGACTGTTGTTCTTAGTTTTGCAGAAGAATAAACAGAGACTCTGAAAGGCTGAACTACTGGCCTGATGACACATTGCTGTAGAGTCAGTTCTTCATTCTCAGCTAATACCTATCTGACTTCAAAGAATGGAATTGTTTCAGAGACTCCTAAATCATAGACAGACTCTGGATGTTGTTTTCTTAAAACTAAATCCACCAGTGCTAGTCAGCCAAGGAGTAGGTCACATGTGGTAAAGAAAGAACATCAGTGAATGGCAAAGCTAGTTTCAAAACCTCGCTCAGCCATGCACTAGCTGGGGACTTAGGGAAATGATTTAACCTCACTGAGCTCAGTTTTCTCATTTGCAAAATGGTGGCAATAACACCTACCTTTAAGGCTGCTGTGAGATCTAAATACTTAACATGCCTGGTGTGTATTACGTGCTCCATACGGGGCAGCTGAGGTCCCTGTTATTTTCCTCTTCCTCCTAAGGGCAGAGGAAGTGCATTTTTTAAAATTCATTGTCAAGAGGCAATGTGGTATAATGAACACAGTTAGGGTCCTAACTCTCTAGGTCCCGTCTCTATGCATAGCTTACTCTGTGATTTGGGGCTCTGCTAACTTCTTTGGGCCTCGGTTTACTGAACTATAAAGCAAGAGGGTTGGGTTGAATGATCTCTGAAGTCCCGTTTCATAAGGAGTCATGAGGGTTCTGAGAAACTGAGGCTTCACTTTCCTCAAATTGATTTTGGGGAAACTCGAAAGGGTTTTTCCCTGCCTTGTCTCCTGTCTCCTCCACCCCTCCCAGCCTCGAGCCTGCCCTCGCACTGAGCACGCTGCTCATGGCGTTTTTGTTTTTTACCCTTCCCTGTGGCAGCATCTTGGTGAACATGGATGACAACATCATCGAGCACTACTCGCACGAGGACACCTTCATCCTTAACATGGAGAGCATGGTGGAAGGCTTCAAGATCACGCTCACGGAAATCTGAACTGGGCTCCGCATCCCGTCAGCAGGAGCTGTCAGTGCGTCCTCCCCGGGAGGTGTGGAGGCCCGGCCCCGGAGCCCACCTCCCACCTCATCACTGCTGTTACAGGACTGCGCTGGGGGGCACTGAGGGTCAGTATGTCTGGTCCATCCAGCAGCTCCTGAGCCCCTCAGGAAGGTGCCTTGGGCCTGCTGGATCCTTATTTATTGCCCACCTTTTTCCGGAGCCTGGGGTCCAGGCCTGCCAGGACTCTGCAGGTTACTGCTGGCTCCAGATGAGACCGTCCAAAGTCCCCGCTTCAAGGAAAACACAACCAGTCCATTCATCCTCAGAGTCTGAAAAAGTCTTGTCCCTCTTTCTCACCTCTCCACATCTTCTGAGCGGCTGGATAAAATGAGCCACTTCTTGGCGCGGTAGTCGTAGGTGGAGTGAGAGGCGGACACCCTCTTCATTGGTCAGAAACCTTCAGGATGCTCTGGGGAAGGTCATCTTGCTGAATCCCTCCAGGGGTTCCCAGCAAGTGGCCACCAGGCCTTGTAGAGGAGGACATTCAGCTACCATGTAATTAGTAACACAGAAAGCATGACTGACTATCATGTACATAGTGTTTATAATATGGCAATAATATATTTTACCTGTGGTATGTGGGCATGTTTACTGCCACTGGCCTAGAGGAGGCACATGCCTGGAGACTCTGCTTTCTAGAAGAGGTTTCTGCCTCTGTGCCTGTTCAGGAGACATGCTGGGCTAGGGAAGTGGCCTTTGGGTGTCATGTGATTGTGTTGGGTACCAAGATGGAATCTCCAGAGATCATGCCTAGGGACTTGTTTCCTGTCCCAAAAGGGAGCCCCCTCTCCCTCTCATGGGTGTGACCTTACCTTGAGGCCACTGCATTTCTCTCATGATGATGTGCTTTGCTTGACTTCCTTTGAGCTGTCTCGTGGGAAAGGTCGCATGGTCTGCGGCCCGAGCCCCTTCTCCACCTTTGGTGCCGGTCATTGCCTGAGCCTTCTGGAAAGACTCTGCAGGGGGTTTGCTATCAAGAACCTGTCACTGGGGCCTGCTGCAGAACTCTTTGGCTGTCATGAGAATCCTGGACACTGTGTAGTGCCTCACAGTTTACAAGCACGTCCTTCGCTCAAGTGGCCCCTTTAAAATTCCAGCTGCGGTTCTGAGAGCCATGCCAACAGCTCAGCCCTGCATCGACAGGCCGGGGGTTCCCTGGGCCTTGAGATGGGAAAAGGAGGGAGTGGCTGCCTCTGCTTCTGGGCGCCAGGCTGTGAGGACGTGCACGAGTGAGTGAGAATGCTCCCGAGCCCCGACTCTTCTGACCCCAGCCGTGGGAGGCAGCCTCGGGAGAGCAGGCCTCGTCCTCCTGCTGCAGGTCCTGGGAGGTGAAGGAGGAAAAACACTTCCCTGAACAACCACAAAATGATGCACCGTGTGGGCTGCTGTTCCCTTTGAGGGGACAGGCAGGTGGTTCGGGGTTTGTGTGGGCCGAAGCACTAGCTATCTGGCAGACATCCTGGACTCAAGGCCCTAATACAGGTTCCGTGTAAGGGTTCAGATTTGTTTGTAAAGCACTTTGATGTCTCACCAGGAGGCCCCTCTCAGGGCTCCCTGCCGTCCCACCTCGTCTGCCCCTGAGGCCCAGAGCAGGGTGGAGGGGCTGCTTTTGGAACGGAGACCAGGAGCTGGGCCCAGCATCTGAGGTTGGTGGTAAGGGGGCACCTTTCTATGTGTCCTCTGGACATGTCACCCCCTCCTGTGGTGTCCAGTGTTCAGATCCTAGATTTAGCTCTGCTCCCATCTGCACTGTTCTTCTCCACTCTGCCATGTCCTGGACCAGCAGCTTAGGGACCATTCTGGGGACTAACGGGGCTCTGTTCTAAGAAGGACAAATTCAGTGTTGGAAATACATGACGTACTATGCACTTCCCACACTCCTTGGGTTAGGAATAGTTTCAAACATGGTTGGCAGACCTAATGGCAGGTGCTATTAAGCTGGGACACAGGACTCCAGAGTAAGGAAAAGACAAAATGTTGGGGAACCTGACATAGCCTCCCCTTCTCTCTCCATTCTCTTTGGAATGCTATTTGTTGGTCCTGCCCTAAGGCAGAAGATGAATCAGAGATGCTTTTGCATGTGTCCTAAGTCCCTGAGCAGTCACTGTGGTGACCACTGCCAGAACAAAGGGTATGAGGCCAGTGCCATCAGAGGGTGGTGCAGAGCGTCATGTCCCATTGCATCCGTGCCCCATCTTTACCACACCCCCTGCATTCTTGGGGCGCTGGGGCTTAGCTTCAATGTGTCCTTCATTGTGCATGTTGGCAGAGCTTTGATGAGCTAAATTTCTTGAGCAAAAACACTCCAGAAAGTTAGGAAAACTTGCCTCCTCTTTTTTTTTTTTTGTTCCTTAAATTAATCACACTCAAACAAATAAGCTTTCTTTTTATTTCAATCCATGAAAAATGGGGGACACATGGAGCAAGTGTTCTCCTTATGCATCCCCACATAGTTTAGGCTTTACGGGTGTTTGGAAGTGGGGACCAACAGAAAAATGTAGTCAAATGTCATCTTGGAATTGGTTCCTAAAAGACTGAGGCATGTCCCAGCCCAGAAACTTAGGAAGTGTGAAATGAATCAAAGGCTTATTTTCCTTCTTATTTAAAATGATGAAAATGCAACGGGGAGAGGGCTTGTGCCAAATTCTACAACGGCCCTTTCCTAAAGGCAAGCATGGGAGATTGACGTACGTACAGTCTGCTCTCACGTTAAAAAAAAAAAAGGTAAATGTAACTTAATAGTTTTGTAAATGGGAGAGGGGGAATCTATAAACTATACATACAGTTATTTTATTTTTTGTACATTTTTAAGAAGAAAAAAATAAATATTCATAACATAAGAGTAAAACAGTGTCTGGTGCTTTCTCTGAGGCAGGTGTTGGGGCTCTTTACCTGATTCTGTCTTTGTGACCTGGGAAAATTCTAGGCTCCCTTGGACACTTTCAGATCCCGGGCATCAACAGAGCAGGCATTTCACCCCAGGTCTGATAACATCAAAAGGCCTTCGGTGTGACTGGGGCAGGCTCCCCACGGTAGCTATTCTTGACCCATCTCCAGGGCAGGCAGAAGGTTCTGTCCGCTCACTTCTGCCTGTCCCCACTCCCGGGCTCGCTCACCCCACTTGAATTCCCACAGAAGCTTTCTGCCTCCTTAGTTCATTCATGCCAACCTCGACATAGAGGCCAAACCACGTAGCTCAAACTCCAATTTTATCACGATCATCTCTTGTCCTAGAAGCCACAGGCTCCCTAGTATCTGTCAGCCCAAATGGAAACCCTTCCATGCTCCATCCCAGAATGTATTGGGGTTCTCTTGGTGACCACCCACCCCGCGGAGCCCCCACACCCCTTTAACCATTATCCACGATTATGTCCTGAGAGCATCTCTGTTCCAAACAAGCAGCGTTTCTACATTCCCCTTCATCTCCCCTTCACTCTGTCTACCCACGTCCACACTTTCAAATCTTGGCTAAAACTTTGCATTCGAGAAGCCTTCCCTGGCTGACTTCAACTCCAGCGGCATCTGCAGTGGCCTCTGTGCCTGGACCAGGGTCAGGGAAGGGAAGGATGGGGAAATGCTTATCGAGGAGCCTTCCAGAGAGATGACAGGGTTAGAGATGGGCCACAGGCTTTTTATCGTGATCACGTCCCATGGCCTCGGTGGGAAGTCTCAGTGCCCTCCCTGCTTGCCCGAGTAGGTCCTGCTGGGGATGCAGGCTGCCTTCTTGACCTGTGCTATTTAGTGAGCTGCACTTGCCATGTGTGCCACCCACCCCCCCAAGCTCCCTGGACCGGGACTCTGACTGGGTAGGCAAAGATGACAATTGTCAGGGCCACACGTCTGGCATGAGCTCTTCCTTCCACTGTCTCCTAATTCTGTTACTGTGGATGAGACATTGTGCCACATGCTTGAGATGAAGAGGCAGGTTAGACACTGCCCTCAGAGGAGGCGACATGATGATCTGGTGTTACAGAGCAATAATAGAGGTTTGCCCTGCAAGAGTCAGGGCTGTGTCATCACCTACTCCTAAGGCATGCCAACCCTTCTTACCCTCAGACATCCACGTCATGATGAGAGCTCACCAGCCATGAACCTCAGGTTGGGAAGGCTGCCCACTCAAGTGTCTGAGCCTATGTTTGGGGGGAGGGGGATGTCAATGGGAGTGGGGAAGGGGATGGTCACTTCAGACACAGATGCCAAGATGGGGCAAGATGTTCAGGAGATAAGTTATTGGGGGAGATTGATGTGAAGGACACGGGAAAGAACAGGAGTCAGTGGGGACAGCCTGCACACTGACACTGCAGAAGCAGAGAGGGAAGGAAGGCAACCGGGCAGGAGGAGCCTCAGACTCCAGCACAGTTCTGGGACAGTCTCGGGCAGGCCAGTGGGGAGTCCCCAAGCAAAGGCCACCCACTGGAGGGGTCCCACTGTGGGCAAGAAGGGCTGGGTTCTAGACCCCCACCATGCAGTCTTTGATAAGGAGCAGCCCGGTGAGGGCGTGGCTTCAGAGTGGCTCCAAAAGAGTGGCAGCTGGAGCCTGTTAATCAGCTCTGCTCCCACCAGCAGGTCCTCGTAAAGGAAGACCTGAGCGGGGCCAGCCCTTTCTGGAAAAGTCTCCAACAGAGAGTCACTCAGGCTCCACTTAACATTCCCTGGGTGTGTTTTCTAGACTATCACCTTAGTACAATATGCCCTTAGTCCCCAGGAGTCCTTCATCCCTACACTTCTCTGAATTGCTGTGAATGGGTGCATGGGTTAATTTTGGAGACTCAGGAGTTCTAGGAAAGACAGTGGGGGGCCTCTCATCAACCATAGCAGCAAAAGAGAGGAAGGAGATGGTGCGAAGGCACCAAAGGCAGTGCCCGCTTGTTCCCGGGGTAGCAAACACCCCTCAGGAAAGTACTGGACTTCTGCTCTCCATCCTCTCCATCAGGTGCAGTTGCAATCTCCTTTGCAACTGTTTTCAAGGTCCTGGACAGACAGAAGTTACCATCTGAGGTGTGAGCTTGGTTCCCTACTTTGCTAATAACTCCTACTCCCCCTGCCCCCAACACACCTCCAAG